GGGGGGGGGGGGAGATATGAATGCGCCCAAGAGCTTGGGGAGATGGGGGCCACTAAATATATAATTACGTTTGATTTAGACTATTAGTGTTCCTTTTTTCCCTTTTTATTTACGAATTAACATTTATTATCTTAAACTGACACAAAATTTAGAATATATTTTCCAGAAATTAATTATAATAAAAATAAAAATTATCCAGAATTTTTTTGTTTTGCGGAACATTTGGCGCCCCTTTGTGAGTAGCGCCCGGGGCATGATGCCCCCCCTTGCCCACCCCTCGCTACGCCACTGTATTTAATATGCCTCCATTTTATAGTCTTCTAAAAAAAAGCATGATTATTTCTCTCGTTTGCCTTTCTGCTGAAGGAATTGAGGGGATTATATTTATCGACTATGTCAACCTTCATCTATCAAAAGGTAACTCAAGATAGAATCAAGTTAACATGTCTTATAGTATACTAGGGAATTGGTATTCAATATTTATAGTGGTATTTACGCCACAGAATGAATCAAAATTATCCTTATAATTTTTATAGGAATAAAACGCAAAAAAAAAAGGATCCTGCTCGTTGTGCAATTTATTTATACTTACTTTGTGCACTTATTTATAATTACTTTGTAGTTGTGCAATTTATTTATTTTTTTTCCCCTTAAATGAATTGATAAGCAAATTACAGTGAAACACTGAGTTTGCACTAAAATAACCCAGTGAAAGCGCCGAATTCGAATCAAATTACTCACATCACTTATTCGAATCATATAATTTCGATTAGGGATTCAAGTCAAGGGATTTAGAAAATAGTCATTCGAATCAAACGATTCAGTTCAGTGATGCGATTAAAGTTTTTTGGATATATGATTTGAATCAAGTGATTCAAGTTACTGGTTTAGATCATACGATTCAGATAATTGATTCGAATGAAATGTTTCGGATCAAGTGATTTAGATTACTGATTCGAATTGTTATTAGGATCACTATTAGAAGGAAGGAAGTCGCATAAATGATTCAAATCATGGTATTTGGATCACTATTCGAATCAAGAGATTTGTATCATTGATTTTTATGACTTGCTATGGATCACTTATCCTTGATTACTATTCGAATAAAGTGATACAGCAGATAACTGATTTAAGTCAAGCAATTTAAATCACTTGTTTAAATCATGTGATTTGGATCATTGTCAAGAATAAATTGGATCACTATTAGACATGGTGCGTAGCGTTTTTAAAAAGTGCTTAAAGGTGCTTATTTCCGTTTTTTAAAAGCCCTTAAAGGTACTCTTTTCA